GCACTGGGATTACAGGTGCACATCACCACGCCCAGTCTCAATCAGTGTCTCAGTGTACCCTGGAGACAGGGCTAGCACAGGACATGGTGCTGCGGATTGAACCCCAGTCCCTGCGCTTGCCTAAGCAGGCGCTTTATTTTGCTGAGCTATCTGGCTGGTCCTCTTGTCTTTATTTTCTAAATCTTCTCGCCAATCTCTCTCAGGGACCACCGAGAGACCAGCGCATCCCTACACCACAAGGTTTGTCTTCTTACTTACTCCTACAGCCGCACGATGCGCCACAGCCAGAATGTGGAGCCCACCTAGATGCGCGTCAGTGGATGCATGCATGGCAATAATGTGCTGCATATGCACGTTAGAATATCATGAGCGGTAGAGAGCAATGTTATTGCGGGAAAATAGAACTAGAGAAGTAAAATAAACCAGACTCAGAAGCACAAATATTACATGTTTCCCCTAATATGTGGAATCTAAAAAGCAAAAAAAAAGTTGACATGAAAGTACAGGGAAGGTTAAGATTAGACTAGAAAAAGAAAATAGGGTAGGGTACATGAATTTAAGAGAGGAACACATGATCAACAAATATATACATGTATGAGCAAGCCACAACAAAACCCAATTTTTCTTTTTTTTTGAGGAACCGGGGATTGAACTCAGGCCCTTGCGCTTGCCAGAGAAGTGCTTATTCTACTGAGCTATCTCCCTGACCCAAAACCCAATATTTTAAGAAACTAATATGCACTACTTTTTCATTAAAAATTTAAAAGTAAATTTAAATATATTAGGGCCATGAATCAAGGTAAGAACCAATGTGTCTCGGGGAAGCGTGAGATGTACTATCAGGGTCAGCCACACGCTGACCTTGGGTAGTGAGGATCAGGGTTAAGATCAAGGGTAGAGTAGGGTCAGCAAATGTCCACTTCAGGGTAAGTTCAAGGTGAGAGTCAGGTTGGAGTCAGGATAAATGTTAGGAACTAGATCAGCAGCAGGATCAGTGAAAGGGTAAGATGGCAGGCAATGTCAGTGTGAGATTCGGGGTCAGATTCCTTCAGGGTCAGGGTGAAGGTGAGGTATGTCAGGGTGTTAAGAGTTGAAGTCAAAGGTGAGAGTCATCCCAGGGTCAGGATCAACGTCAGATTGAGTCTAAACCGGCTATGGTTGTAGTGCTCACCTATTTTTTTTTACTTTTTTTCCCCATAATTTTACTGATAAACAAATAGCAATGAGACAGTTTCAAATCAAATTGGTAGGACAGTTTCAATAATTAACACATTGCATACATTCCTCCCGGTGGTTAATTGCCGTACAAGATGCAGACATGATATCCTATCTAGAAACACCATTAGAACAAATCCCTCTATTCATTAAGAGAATGTAACTATATATCTATCCTAACCACTTTGAATACACAGATACAAAATGGACATTTATCTGTATCCCTTTTTTAGTTAAGTTCCGTTATTTGAATATTATAGGTGTGTTAACTCAGCAAAATAATCTAAAAGAGTCCAGTAGCCCATAATAGTATTGGGTCTTCCGCTTCACTGGCAATGTCAGAAATTATTGACCTGAGTCCCCTACAGCTCAACATAACAGTATGGCTTTACTTCCTATATTTTGTTTTTATACTTTTCTGCTGGGTGGTTAAGACCAAGGTAAAGCAGGACCTATGCAACAAGAGTTGTAGCTTTTGGGTCTGAGAAGGTCAGTGAAATCCCCTCAGGTAGTACTCACCTACTGCTAACAGCCTTATTTCTAGTATTGTTTCAGGCACTGCTGTAACAACAAAAGAACCATTATCCTTTCTGCTCATTCTGGTTCACTTTCCTTCAGGAGTAGCCATGGACTTGGGGTATTTACTGCTCTGGTACCTTTATTTTTCTTACGGACCATCAATTAGGTCCTAATGGCTCATATAATCTCTGAAAAATAAAACTATTTCAAGGGTTACTTCTAGGTAGACTTATGACTGCACACATGGGTGATAGAAAGCTAAGAACATGCAGCTCTATTAAAGTTTGTCTTTCCTAAAAGCCATGTTTGCCAATGCCTCAGAGCTCAGATACTGAACTCCCCACCCACTGTAGAAATCCTTTCTTCTGCATCCTGGTGATCTGCAGCCTTTGAACACATGCAGAATGATGAGCTAAATAGTTCCAAAGGCTGGCTAATTCTTTTTTTTTTTGTACTGGAATTGAACTCAGAACCTCACGCTTGCCAGGCAAGCTCTGTGCCACTAAGCTAAACCCTACATCCTGATACTTCTAAATTTATGGATAGCTTAGGCCAGTGCAGGGACTGGGGTTTGATCCCTGGCACCACATGCTGTGTCGGCTCTGCCCCAGGGCGTGCTGAGCAGGCCGCTGGTGACGCAGGTCTATAACCTCAGGGCTGGAGAGGCTGAAAACAGGAGGATCACTACAGGTCTGAGCTGCATTGTGAGACCAGGTACCAAATACTAAATTAATTAACTAATTAATTTATTTATTTATGGACAGATGATCTTTGTGAAGTGAGCCCAAAGTGGCTTCAGGTCTTTTTTTTTTTTTTTTTTTTTAGCTCTCCTGCTCACAGCAACAATGTAAATAAACTTTTCACATTGTTCCTCCTTCACTCTCTTCCACCCAGGCACCCTAAGCCAGGACTTTTTGCAAAGGTGGAGCTGTATTCCCTGTTCGCTAATGTAGATTTCCTGGAAAGTCCAACGGGAAAGCCTCAGCCACATCTCTGAGGTCCCCACAGCCTGTTTCCAGGGGAAGCCACCACTCTCTTAGTGAGTCTTGGCCCTCACACCACCAAGGTGGGAAGTACAGCTGGGGAGGCTGAGCTGGCCCCCTCTTTACTCTGAACAAGACTGTAAAACAGAAAGTTAGGGTTCACAGACAGGAAGAGAAAGCCTGCTGGTGACAGGAAACAGGGAACAATCCCTTCCAGACTGGCTTCACACCCAGTGACATATCTGGCTGGCTGACTGACTCCTGGTCTACCCCTCCCTCTTGTGAACTCTCCCTGTGCGGCCATAGCCTCTCAGAAACATAGCTCTGAGGACAAAATTTTTAAAATTAGAAGGGCTCGGTATGTGGTTCAGTGTAAAGCTCTACTGCGCTCTAGTTCTAGCACTAGGTATGAGAAGATTCATTTTATTTTCTTCAGAGTTCATGAGCCTGGCTCAGCCCTGGCACTACCCCATAGCCCTGAAGTAAGAATACTGAGAGAAAGAGTACTGAAGAAAGAGTACTGAAGAAGACTGAGAGAAAGGTCAAGGCATGTGGAAAACTCTGGTCAGGGATCTGGGGCTGAGGGGTAGAGAAGTCAAACATAAAAAGTTTCAAGTCTGAAGTATCAGGGACAGGCTGACTGACTCCCAAGATCCACTGCAACTCAGAATTACCATGATCCTTTGCGTGTTAGAGTCAAAAGATCCTAGAGAATTGTTTAGATCAAAGCTGAACACCCAAGCAGTGGATCTGGGGCGGAACAAACAACAAGATGGGCAACAACTTCCTGACAGACAAGTGCATGACAGAAGGGCAGTTTCTGTCTCCTTCTTCCATCACTCCCCTTGACCCAGCACTTGTTCTTTAGGCTCTGCTTGCCTGTCCTGTCCTTCAGCCTGAATTAGTATACCAAGAGGCTACTAAAGCTCACCTCTGTGGCTGAATCAAAGTCCCCAAGATCATATCTAAGAAGGAGAGTTGAAGCAGGAGGGACCAAATGCCTTCATAAGCCAGGGAGAAACAATGAAGAGCCAGAAAGTTCAGCCAAACTGGAATTTATTGGGCTGTCAAGGTAGAGTAACACATTGAGGGACCATCACCTGAGGACAGGACTGAAGTGTTTGGAGACATGACGGGCTGGGCCTCTGGGCTAGGAGGGGGGCACTGCATGATTCAGATCCTCACGGGACTTCAGGAAGGCCCTGTATTTGTCCAAGAAAGGGTTGGCCAGAGTCTTCAGCTCACTCTGAAGTTCCTGCAGAGCTGTATCTTGCTCTTGCTTGTCCCCTGTCATTCGTGGCCGGTAAAAGTTAATGTACATGTTCATCCAGTCATCCACCATAACCTTCATGTCTTCTGCTGTGATAAGAGGAAAATCAAAAACCTGGGGGCAGGGGACAGGTGACATAGAGTGAGATTCAAGTATATCTACAGTCTCACAGACTCACCTCCTCTGTGCTCTAATCTGCATTCCCTGTCCTGAGCTGTTTCCATCAACTCCTCCATTTCCCTCACAGTTACTCTTCCGGCTCTGCCCTCACCCCGACACATCCTCTCAGACCTAGCCCTTGAAAACCAGGATGTAGCCCTTACCTGCTGATTCAGCAGAATGTTGAACTCCTTCATCCCCACAGAAATGAGGTCCTTATTAGCCTGAAGAAGAGCCATCTGCTTACAGAAAAAGGTGGAATTTAAATAGAATTAAATTTAACTTTAATAGTCTTTCCCCTCACTTTTGAGTGTTTCCCCCAATCTGGTACTCCCCTTAAAGACACTTCATCCTCTGTAGGGTCAGCACCTCCCCAAACCCTTCACATCCCGCTCCACACTGAGCTCCCCTGTCTCCCAACTGGACTCACCTTCACACCCAAGAGCACAGTTTGCGCCACCCACACACTTCCCGGGCTGGAACTACTTTGCGTTAAACAGGGTACAGGCAAAGAATCAAAAGTCAACTTGAGAAAGAAACGCCCTACAGCTAGGTTCTGAGAGAGGATGATAGATGGGCTTGGGTGGAGAATGAGGGTGAGGCTTGCTTGGAGGGAGAAAGATAGGGAGGCTAAGAGAAACAGATAAACAAAGAGACCCAGAAAATGCAAGAACCAAACCCAAAACATATTTGCCTCCTGCCCTACAACCCAATGGTCCTGTTCTAAAGGCCAAGGGGACCAACACTGAGGCCCTGCTGCTGGGCAGGCACGTTGGCATCCTGACCACAATAGAAGGGCAATAACTGCCCAATCCAGAGACAGTACAGTCAGAGCAGCCTGTACCGCATCTGTTCATTTGTGCCCAGTGCTGTTTCAAGCATGCATTTGTCATTATTTAAAAATCTCAATAAAGCCGAGATACTTTTTCTTCTTTTTAAATAGATTTTGTAATGCCTGTTTTCAACAGATTTGTGTCATTTTTGCCCCCACTGAAGTAACTATCATTAAAAGCTGTGGTACAAACATAGACGGAAACTGCATTCCAAGGAAGGTCTTCCAGGGGAATTCATTCATAGAAGTTGCCCTCGGGAATCAGCACACTCACAGAAGCTAACATTAAATTTACAACAGAATGTTTGGAACCCTTCAATTTTTTGATCTGCCAGGACATTTAATTTTTCTTTTTTAAGACATGTATTCAGGTTTATCACAGTCTCTGAGAGACTCTGTCTGGGTGCCAGATAAGGGGAGGTGGGCAGAAGGGCGTTCCCGGTTCCTTCCACCACAAGGAAGGTGATAGCTTGGGAGAAACAAAAGTTTCACGTAGGGAGTTGTAAGCTGAAGTCAAATGGAGAAGGCAGGCAGGAGCATGAGAGTTTATTTTCTTATTAGAAAGAAAAGGAAAAAGATGCTTTGGGTAAATTTTTAGTGTGGTTTCCTTACCTTGTACTAGATAGAAGGGAAGGGGAAGGGAAGAGATAGGTTGGGAAGGAGAGAAACACTGTCTTCAGAATTCTTCCCCCAGTCCCACGGACTCTCTCCCCAAACAAACACACAAGCCCTTTCTCCTCTCCCTCCCTTCCCTCTCCTCCTCCTCTTATCTCTTCCTCCTTGTCTGTCTTGACACCTGAGGTTTGCGCCCAGGGCCTTGGCACAGAGCTGTATCTCCAGCACTATTTATCTATTTTAGTGGTACTGGCGACTGAACCTGGGGTCTTGAAATGTCACTTTTGTTCTCATGTTTGTTGTTGCTGGGCCATTCGCTGTAGCACAGCACTGAGAGTCTGGTGGCCTGGTTTAAGAAGAAATTCCCGAAGTTTTGGCTGACCGCGCAGTCCAGCATACTGTTAGACTCTAAGATTTCATTATTCGGTGTAGGGTAATTTTGGTCTGAAATCCAATAGATGATTATAATTATTTTCATTACGCTGAGGTCTTTTGTCTTACTATATTCAGCAAGACTTGTTTCTCTCTCCTTTGTCCCCAGGCCTGCTAATGTCTAACTATTTGCCTAACACACCAAACATTAAGGACTGCTCTGAAGCCACCTCACAGAACCAATCCTATGAAATCAAGTAGAGCAGGGACTGGACCAGGACCAGGCCACCTAGCCTATCACCTCCTGGACATCCCCCACCCCTACCCCTACCGGCCGCTATACAGACCTCCCAAAACTGTTGCTTTTCTTTCCCTTTTCTTTTTTTTTTTTTTTTCCTGAGGACACATTCCACATTTTATTTACATTTTAAGACTAATCTCAAAATCACATATCCATATACCTATTTCCTTTTGTTGATTTCACCTAAACTTAAATGCATGGTTTATTTAACAAAGACTGTAAACAAATATTTACCATGTCTGTTACATGTAACACACAGGAACAGCTTTTAACAGAAATTCATCCAGCCTCCCCCAACTTTTTTATTATAAACACAGGTATCAAAACAATCCTGGCCAGGGAGATGGCTCAGTGGAATAAGCGCTTCCCTGGCAAGTGCAAGGGCCTGAGTTCAATCCCTGGTTCCACCAAAAAAAAACAATCCTGGATGGGCCAGGGAGATGGCTTAGTGGAATAAGCGCTTCCCTGGCAAGCGCAAGGGCCTGAGCTCTAATCCCTAGTTCTACAAAAAAAAAAATAAATAAAAATAAAAATAAAAAATAAAATAAAAAAATCCTAAACATATATTTTGATACTAGTAGTAGTCAGCACCCACACTGCTTCAGAGATTAATACAATTTGTGACAATATTCATTGTACTTTTTTTTGGTTTGTTTTTGTTTTTTGCAGGACCAGGGATTGAACTCAGGACCTTCCACTTGCCAGGCAAGCACCTATTCTACTGAGCTATCTCCCTGGCCACTATGTACTTGATACTCTGAACAATTTCAAGCTGCAGCTTTCACTAAGTGAGATGGATAAGCATGCCATTTGTTTTTCCTTCTTGAGATTTTACTTTTCAGAAACACTCACTTCCACTGACATCTGACAATTCTTCCCGTGCTTTCATCTTGTAAACCCGAACCTATGTGGAGTACTCCAGGTTCACGTTTAAATGCCAGTGCCTCAACAAAAGAAAGAACAATTGTGCTGCATTTTTCCTGTTACCTGAAAACATAATGGGTGAACATTTATTAAATATATTTTGACAAATGTCCAGGTCATGTTTACCAGCTGGAATTCTTTTACTTAATGTGTGGGTATTTTGCATTGTGATATTTAATCAAGACATTAATATGGCCTTTTGTTTCGTCGCTTCATGCCTGCTGTTCTTAGGGGCGCGTCCACCCCATATGCATACCCCACCATGAGCTGGTCGCCGCTGGCCGGCACTCGGCGGCACTGCCGTCCAAGATTAAGGGGTCCCCGGCGAGGAGCCGGCCAACATGCCTGGGCGGGCGCGCGCAATAAAAGTCCTGCTTGGTGCTGCGCCCTTGGGCCTTTGAGCACGCAACCCAGAGGCCGTGCCAGACGGAGGTGACAGGAGATACAAGCTCCGATACCTGGTCTCCCCAGGTTTTCCTGGCAGCGGCTGATGCTAAAGAGAGCATTTATCTTTCTTTGGAGCTTGCCTAGGCTAAGAGGCGAAGTCTTCCTCTCGGCCAGGCAGCTTCCAGTTTGCCGTTCCCTGCCTCAGCTTTGACCCACCAGGTGTAATGACAACACCTAACATCATCTCAGTACTGTCTAGAGTTTGGAGAGACCTTGAGAAAGAAGACCCAGGCAAAGATGAACAGGTTATAGACAAGTATAGACAAGTTCTGTAAACAACCTTTTGCCTTGGTGAATATACCTGTGATTACTGGTTGATCAATAAAGACTGTGGAAGTGTCAAAAAAAAAAAAGACATTAATATGAGTAGAGGGGCTGGACAGATGGCTCAGTGGTCTAAGGCACCTACTTAGAACAAGCTTGGCAAAGCATCAGCGACCGCGGTTCAATCCCCCAGCACCACATGCCAGCCAGCCCC